TTTTCTCTTCTTTTCCCTTGGGTGGGGATCGTGTGTGGGAAAAATACCAGGGACACCCACCCACCCCCCAGGCGCCCCCCCCCCCCCCCCTTCTTAATAAAAAAACGTGCCTTCCCTAAGATGTATAAATTTTGTGAAATTTGACATTCATTTTCTCGGGCTCCCATAAGAACTTTTCTTTGGTGTTATTACAGATGATTGATTACATCTTTATAGCCCTTGAAAAATGTAAAAAATAATGCAATATTCTTTAATTAATTCTGGTACAAGGTTTTTGTCCACTGAAAATTAAAATTACTCAATTTCCTGATGGATTCCGTCTTAATATAAATATACTGTTTTTACAGTCACCATGTGTCACACCGTAAACAACTATATTAATTTTATAAGAACTTAACGCTTCAAGCAAACATATCATTAAGTGTCAGGTCCTTAAGTTCTGATATGTCAGTTACGAAGAAACCAGCTGAATTTCTATAGATCTGCAGCATAACTTAATCAAGCCTGCACCCCCACTCTCCCCCTCCAAAAACATGCTTGTAGAAGAAGTTTTTACATGTTACATAAAATCTCTGAATTGTCCGTCATTCCAGTAACAAGCTTTGTATCAGGAGTATTCCTCATGACTTAACTGAGATGGGATAGTTGGTACTATAATAATTGTTAACCTCTTTTTACCATTCAATCTAGCTGTATTTCATTTTGACCTCAGAATGGCAGCCAGATCTTATGAAGCTGGTTTTAGAAAATACTATGGTGACAGACTGACCATCATCTCAGATGACACATCAAATGAAGAAATTAGACAAGTTTATGACCACTGGGCCAGAGATTATGACAAGGTGATTAAAATGTGTCAAATCATTAGTCCACAGACTATACTGGATCAACAAGGTTTCTTTCATCATCCTCCTCAGCCCCAACTGCCTTTCAAGAGGTGAAGGATATAATTTGATGTTTTTAATTTTTTAAAAAATTAAATGTGTTTCTCACTGAATTCTTTTATTTAATAAAGAAGCTGTAGGTTTCTAAACTCCTTATTTGATCTCCTCTTGTTACTATCCCCTGTGTGAACATGTGCACCTTGATGCACTCCATCATTTTTGTCATAACATTTTACATGTGCATTGTTGAGGTAGAGATGGAGGGGACAAATCCTGTTGCCCCATTCAAAATTTTCTGGGAGTGACAAGTTTCATGTTACATTTGTTTGATTTGTATTAATTAGAGGTTACAATACAAGGTATTTTTGTAATTTCCATATTACTCTCAATTACTGATTTCATCTTGAGAGTAAGGTATATAAGTTGGTCACAAATTTAAGATAATTCCCCTTAAAAAGTGACTGTAGACTTTTTAAGTGATTATAGGGGCTAGAAATCTAAACCCAAGGACACTATGCCCCTGCATGCTTCTAAACAATTTCCATGCTCTGTCCTGGAGGCTTGAACTATAATATGTTTCATTCTTTTGAGAGGGGAGGGTGATAACAGATAAAGTCTCACCCTGAAATAGCAGTAGCTGATTCAGATCTTCAACATTCAGTATGGGAGGGGGGGAGGGAGTTGCTCGCTCATCCTCATACCGGGATCAGATTGAAGCCTAGCATAAAAAATAACTCTTTTTGACGCCTTCAGGCTTCAGTTTAGGTTAAAAAAAAAAAAAGAATGGTCGGGCCTTATCCTTGGACCCCCTTCCCTATATCTGCCACTGCTGTATATGCTATTTTAGTAAAATCCAGCCAGTGGTCTATTATCAATGTAAATGTAAATGTAAATGTCGCGATTGAGAGGACAAACATACATGTCCTCTTTACATAGCTTTTTTGCAGTGGGCTCGGACATCAGCATACTAAGGGCGCCGATGGCAGCCGCTATCAGTCCATTTATGAGCCCACTGAACCCTCCCAACCCATGATGAGTAATGATGTAAGTGATGAAGATATAGACCACAACACCAGGAACTACGTCCCCTACTCTTTTCGAATAGTGTGTGGGTTCTTTAACATCCCATAGAGTTATATGTAAACAAGGTTTGTGAGACGGGACCTCCGGTTTATCGTCCTTATCCGAGAAGACTTGAAAGTCTAATCATTTGCAGATGTCATTACAAAGACAGCACTTTCTTCTCAGTTATTTTTAAGACCCTGAGTGTTGGTCCGGCCAGGATTCGAACTCGCGACCTCTCGCTCAGCAGACCGGCGCTCTCCTAACTGAGCTAACCGGGCGGCGGTTATGATTGCTGCGTTATGATTGGTTGAGCTATGACTAGGCTGTATTTTATAGCCCACTAGTAGTGAAAAGCTCCAGCTTTGAAAACCAAAACAATGGCGGCTGAATCGCTTTTGGTAGCTTAAGTTGTTTTGTCTCGATATTTTTGACCAACTAGCTGGATTTTACTAAAACAATAGTTCCTGTTGCCCTCATTGCCTCTGAGTCAATAACCCATTTGGGCTTGAAGAATAATTATTAAATATTCTGGACATACACCACTGGGAATTAAGTCCTATACATGTCTTGATATCGGACTTAATAAGCTGTATTGGATTAAGCACAAAAATAAGTGGCCCATCTGTTGTTTGTGTTTATCTCTGTCCCTTAGGATGTTGTTGAGGCAGCACGTGGTGTTTATCACAAACCACTTGCTGAATGTCTGGAGGGAGTTCTCACAGAAAATGTTCCCGAAAAAGCAAAGATGACCTCAAAATCATTGACGTGGGAGCTGGGACAGGATTAATAGGAATAGAACTTCAAAAACTTGGTTACAGTAATCTTCACGCGCTGGATATTTCACCTGAAATGTTAAAAGAAGCAAAGAAACGGAACATTTCCAAGAGGTTTTTTTGTGTCGGATTAAGTGACCAACAGATTTCCGAAATACAAACAGGAGAGTTTGATGCTCTTATATGTGCTGGTACCCTCCTCACTGGGCATATCAGGGCAGCTGCTTTTGAAGAAATGGTCAGGATGGTGAAACATGGTATAATAACTAATCATTGATTGTTATTGTTGCTGCAGTCAGGGCCTCTGATAGAGTGCAAAAAATACTAGGAGATTAAGTGGAATTTTCTGAAGGTCACGTTACATGACGTTTGAGGAACGGGCGTAGAAATTCCATACTGATGACAACTGATAACACGTCTCCATAGCTACCCAGATCTGGGTAGTACTTCTGATTAAACCAAGCAAATTTTCAACCAATCACAAACAGTACCCATATCTGGGTAGTGACGCGTCATCAGTATGGAATTTCTGCAGTCATTCCTCAAAAGTTATATCACGCGGAGTAATGGCGTCGTGAAATGTCGGCTGCTTTCTCGGGCTAGATAATCAGAAGCTCGCTGTTGTTGTTGCTTTGTTTGTTTTTGTTCTCATCATGCTCACGAAATGAAGATTAATTTATACAATTATTTCATTTTAATTATTTTTGTAGGTGGTGTAATCTGCTTCAACATCCGGGATAATCAGCTGGTTGACTACCAAGCAAAAATACGGGAACTTGAAAAAGCGGCAAGATGGGAAGTGATCACTAAGAATGTAGTGTCTTTTTTTGAAAGTAAGGAAATTTTTGACAAGTCTGACGCGTTTTTTTTTTTTATCTTCAATTTTTAAGTTTTAGGTGTAAATATCCTTTTTTAGACCTTTTTTACGCAATAAACTGTGATAGAGGGGAGGGGAGGGGTGGGGTGGGGACAGAGATTGTCCCATTCAAAATGTTCTGGAAGCGACACTAAAAACTGCTGCGAGCAGGACTATTGCAGTGGCAAAACTGTACTGGCGGGCGAGCTCTTGTTACTCAAATCATGTCTCCTGCGCTTACAGGGAAACTTATGGCCGAGAAGAATGGGGAATGGGAGAGACTAAGATCAAGTTTTTTTTCCATTCAAATTTCCTTTATTTTATTGGCGGTTGTCGGGTTAAGCACTCAAAGATCCGGCAATGTTGTTGCTACCCTGAGCAGGTTGAGCTTTCCATGCAGTTCAAATTGATTCCATTTAATTTAATCGACTGGTTTATAGCTTCAGACATGTTGTTGTTCTAGAGCAACAGTGGTCCCCGGTCCATCACGGGTGCTCCATTTTTCTTTTTTTCTTAGAAATTTCGGAAATCACTTTTCCAAAAAGTATTAAAGCCATGTCCGTAAAGAGAGGAAGTGGGTCAATAAACAAGAAAGAATAGAAGGAAGGAAAAGCGACAAGAACATGGTAGTTAACTTTTAGCCTTAGTGTAAATAGGATCAACATTTCGTCCCAACGCTGTGCCTCGGCGGATTCCGATTCCTTGACGGCAGAGCTTGGATTCCATTTCCAATCGTTCGTGTGATTCCGGATTACTTGAACTGAGAATTCTGGATTCCAAATCCCATCATTCCGGATTCCACAAGCAAGAAATTCCCAAATTTCGGTTTGCGGACTACCTTACATTGGACGAGATATGTTCGACGCAACACCGGTTGAATAATGGCAATTTTATCTCGTCCGTCAGCAATCTTTCGTTTCTTTGTTTGTTGTTGTTGTTGTTGTTTTTTCGTTTCTTTGTTTACTAGTTTACTCTGTTGTTGTTGTTGCTGGTTTGTTTGGAGAACATGTATATTTTTTAAGTCCACATAGCTAATCATGTGACATTACGAACAACGCCCTCCTTGTTTTCATTCCAGATAGAGGGAGGTATCCATGACCAGAAATGTCCTCTTTTAAGGACTCATTTCTTAATGGAAATTCTCATTTTTAACGTGAAAAAACATCCCTAAGCTTTGAAAGCACGATGTTTTCTCTTTTTCTCTCTTTTTCGCGCGTACACCCACCCGCCGGGGGAGAGTTCAAAACACCCATTCAAAAAAGCACCCTACCTCCCCTAGACTCAGTCAGAGGAAGTCAAGTCAGTCAGCTGTAGAAAGGTCATATTCACTCGAAAGCATATTTAATTTCTTTTTAAGTTTCCCGAAAGTTCCTCGATCGCCCTATAGTAGTACAGCTTTGATCGCATCGCACTTTACTTTCGGCACTTCTCTAATCATCTGACCACGCCTCTGTTACAGACGGCAGGACGGCCGACGGAAAGGTGTTTTAAAAACGTAAGTTACAACAATTTGAAGCGAAAATTTACTCTGAATTTTATTTCTGATCAAGTGTTTAGATCATGTTAGGTATGTTAGATGTGCACGGAGATCAAGCGGTATTGTGAATTTAGCAGTTTCAGCGCAGTCTGAGGTGTGTTTCAGTGATCGACCGTTTTGAGCTTGTAGGGTACGTAGTTTCTTTTGAACTGTGCGAACACGGTAAAAACCTTCATTCAAGAAAGCACCCTCTATACCTCGATCATACTCCGATGAAGTCAGGTCAGTCAGAAGAAACTAGTTTCATTTCACTTTCAATTTCGCTACAAATTCCCTGATAAGTCAACGCTCTATAGCATTAAGATATTTTCAATATTATTTGATCGCTTTCCAGTTTATACGGCACTCTTCGAACGCCACTAACAGACAATAGGACGGAAATATAACAAGTTCGCATTTTGGAAGCGAAAATTGTACGCTGAACTGATCAAATGTTACATGCGATGCTCACGTCGCAGTTTACTTTCGGCACTTCAGTGTCCATGAATATCGGTAATAAAACATAACCGAAAAGATGTCTTAAAAACGTAAATACAAGGATTTGAGGTAAATAGTTACTCTGACGTTTATATCTCTGATCATTCAGATGCGCCCTCGACGATCAAGCAATGCCATGAACTTGGCAATTTCAACAGCCTTCAGTGCTGGTAGAATACATAAGGACATGTTTCACTCTGTGATTGACTGGCTTCCCTAAGTAATCGATTCATTAAAAGAGTGAAACGAGTAAACGGCAGCCACATTATATATCAAAAGGACCTTCAGAGTTTGACGCATAGTCTATAACAGTTCTAGCGATTTCCATATAGAAGGAAATAAAACATTATGAAAATCTACGAAATCTCGTGACTTCCAAACCCCCCGGCATACTTTAACACTCTGCCCTCCTGTTTCAGAACTGTCAGAGTACCGTATCCGTAGCCTGCTTGGCCAACGATTTCGTTTAGGCAAACTCGTGCAAGGGGCTCGCACGGTATAACGCATGCTGCGCACAGATAGATAATCAAGAAAATATTTCATATGTCGTAATTATAGAAGCACTTTATTTGTTGAGTAGCCAGCCGTCCGCGCTCATCATAAACTCATTATAAACTCTGTATTGGTGATCCAAAGAAGTTTGAATAAATGTTGAAGGGAGAAATTAAATACAGAGTAAATGAAATTAATGAAATAATAAGTCAGTCAGCCGTAGCAAGGTAGCATATTTAATTTCACTTTCAGTTTCCCCGAAAGTTCCTTGATTAGTCAACGCCATAGCAGTACAGCTTCAGAGATTTGATGGCATCGCACTTTACTTTCGCACTTCTGTAATCATCTGACCACGCCTCGATTACAGACGGTAGGACGCGTACGGCCGACGGAAAGGTGCTTAAATGTAAGTACATTTGAAGCCAAATTTACACTGGGTTTTATTCCCAATCAATTGTTTAGATCATGTTAGGTCTGTTAGATGTGCACGGAGATCAAGCGGTATTATGAATTTAGCAGTTTCAGTGCAGTCTAAAGTGTTTTTCAGTGATTGACCATTTTGAGCCAGTACTTCGTTTCTTTTGATCTGTGCAAACAAGTAAAAACCCTCATTCAAGAAAACACCCTCTATACCTCCATCACACTTCAAGGAAGTCAAGTCAGTCAGCCGAAACTAGTTTAATTTCACTTTCAATTTCGCTGAAATTTCCCTAATAAGTCAACACTCTATGGCATTAAGATTTTATTATTTGCTGGCATTACAGCCGGTTTCAACGCCCCTAACAGACAATAGGACGGAAAATTTTGTGAAATCGCAAATTCGCATTTTGGAACACAGGTAACCCAGGCTCTGTGATAGTACCACGGTATGGTTCCAGTAAAATTAAAGTGTTTGTATGGGGTAAAAATACCATCCTAAAATTTCTAGGAAATACTAAATAAAGATCAATGAAATTTACTCTGCAGTTAATTGTTGTTGTCCTTATTGCTCCAACGAAGTTTCGTGATAATTTGCAGTAATTTGTTCAAATTCACTCTATCGACAATAATAATATACAAGGTAGGAAACACGAGATGCCATTTTCGCCGACATGCTCTCATTCAACACAACTTTTTCCACGAAATTTTGAGCTCCAACGGAAAATAGACATGCCAGGATCGTAGAAATAGGATAGCAGCAGATATAGAAACCAATGAAGCTTTCTCAGATAGAGAAACGAATCTCAAGGACTTTGACAAACTCGAAGGATATAATCCAAACAGACCGAGAATATGCTCGCCGAAGCAGCCGGGCCAGATCAACGCGCGGCCAAGAAAATGAGGCCTGGGCACTGTACAAAAAATTCCATCCCGGGAGTACTGTGGTGACCTTTCTGTGGACCGATACATCATTTGCTCAAAGCCACCCTACCCCGCTGAAAATATACTTGATAGAAGGCAATTGTTCTTCCTAGCCAATCACAATTCGCCAGAGCAAACCCCGTACACGCGCCTAAATTTAAATGGCTAAAAAAAAAATAGAACCAGGATAGTCTGCCGAGTTACAAGGCGCCCCATTTCTTTTACTAAGGAACACAAATAACGGTAATAAAACTATGAAATAATAACACGAAATACTTAGGGACCAGTCATAATTTAAGTTGGAGGAGGGGGTGGAGGAGAAATTGTTTTTTTATCCCAAATTATTTCCAGACCCCTACTAATAGCACTCATGTTTTATNCATAATACCCAAATGGTCATAAGAAGTAACAGTTTCTTTACTTTACCGTTCTTACTCACTGTCACTTCCGAATGTGCCAACTAACAACAGAGAAGCACTTCACACTAAACTGAGAAAGAGATTTCACCTAGAACCTCTCAAACAGCTTATAGAGCAAGGATATATCAGTGTTTGTGCTATAATTGAGGTAAGACAGGCTATCGAAAGGTTAGAGGCCGACAGGACCGCTTCAAGAAAGAACGAAGATAATCAGCCAAAGCTTACTTCTTTTTATATGAACAGTACATGCTCTAATAGCAAAAAACTTGACAGTGACACAGACAGTGAGTCCACATCAACCTCATCTACAAATAATGATTCGGATAGTGAGATTGCATAACATGACTTTATGCATGTAATCATTTGTTAAAATGCCTATGAAATTGTTTCAGTGTTACACAATAATGGATGTTGTGTTAATGTACCTACTATTTGAGCATTAAATCTTTTTGTCAAAATGCTGATTAAATTGTTTTAGTATTACACAATATAGGACTTTGTGTAAAACTGAATCAAAATCAGGTCCTTTAATACTCAAGCATCATGCTGCTCAGTAGGGATGCTACTTAAAAAAAAACTTGAAGACCCCCCCAAGGTCATCTTTTGGCATTTTAAGGCCCCCCATATTCCATCCAAAAAAAATTGAAGGGCCCCCAATTTCTCCTCCACCCCTTCCTCCAACTTAAATTATGACTGGTCCCTTACAAGGCGGGCTAAAAACGAGGTTGAACAAGAGGTTACCTACCTTGGTTACCTGTGTTTGGAAG